CTATTCAAATAATTAATATTGTACTGGAAAAGGAAAATAGTAAAACACAAACAATTAGAAAGATACTTGAGGACAGAAGTAGGCATGTCAAACAGGCTAACCCGGCCCGGTCCAAAACCCGTAAAACCCACCTATATATAAGCCTAGCCCGGCCCGGCCCGAACAGGGTTACATGGCTTTATGAGCTTTTTCGTATTTATATATAAAATAAAATTAATTAAAAACAAACATGATTTACCAAAATAAATCTAAATTTAAACAACTACCAATATGTTTTTATTGAAATCTAATTTAACTTAAAAAAAGTGTGACCAAATGAATGCAAACGTCAAATGAATTCAAATAACTATAAAATATATAGTACTGTCAAATAAAACATAAGCAAAATACCAAAAGTCCAAATAGTAAAATAAGAGTTTTTGGCCAACCAAATACATATATATAAGTTATTTTAACCAATTTATCTTTAAAAAGTATCTTTAAACAAAATTTATTACTAAATATGTAAATTATATATTTATTTTCGGGTTTTCCGGGCCGGCCCGAACCCAACTGGGCTAAATCCTAAAAACTCAATAGCCCGAATGGGTTTAGCCCAAAAGACCTGATTTTTTTGGGCTTATATATTCAGACCCGAACCCAGTATTTTTAAGGGCTGGACCGGGCCGGGTTTCGAGTTTTGATCCTAATTAACATGCCTAGACAGAAGCCAATAAAACACTGATTACTTGGTATACCCAAGTCTTGTCAACTACTATAAGAAAAAAGCAACAACCCATACGTACATAGAAAGTTGCATGTATGCATATTTATAGATGTTTGCTATATTATTTCAATGGTAAAACAAATCAAAGATGTCTTGTGAGCTTTGATGTTTCGAGTTTGCAATTCTTTCCATATTTTCTGTTTATTTGGCGAGTGTTTTTGTTTTGTTCATTGCTCAATGGTATTTTATGTAAAAGCAGGAACCCTAACACTTATACTAAACAGAGATATGCACAAGAGACAGATCAATTCCAATAAAAACACACAGTCTTTATTGCTATTCTCCGTATGGCACAACAGCTGATTCACGATGCAGTTGTTGCAACAAATAGATTACACAAACACTTCTATAGAACAGATCCTACAATCCTATTCTACCCAGAGTTATGCGACATCACACACACAGTGATTCGCTCCTGAACGTGTTTCTAATCTATCCAGTGTAACATAACAACAGTTACAAAACCTCAGTTTTTCTCTCAACACAACAAATTATTTTTCTCTCTGTCACTGAGTTCTTCAAAGAGCTTCTCGGAAGAACTAACTAATTATGAGTTATTCTTCCTCCTTATAGCAGCTACCTACAATAACCCTAAAACTGCTCCCCCTTAAACCCAAAGAGAAACGAATTGTTCTTCAATTGTTGATGTCAGACCTCCAGTCCCATCAACACTTGAGAACCCAACCTAACCGCACTTGCAGCTTGACTTTTGTAACGGTCAGATATCCCTTGATTATTTAACCAAGCTTGCATCGTAAGCTTCCCACTTGCGTGGCTCTTGGCTCGAGGTGCCACCTGGCATACCTAGTCATAACATGACTTTTTCTTCTCAACTTCCAATTTTTTCTCCAGTTTCTGAGTCACAAATGAACACTTCACAGCTCCTGTTTCTTCAACAGATTCTTCTGCACTTACATTTTGTTTTCTAAATTTATGTTATTTAAGTCATATCCATGGTTTGGGTCCAATATTTTGGAAACTCATATGTTTGTTTGTCAGTTTTGTTTTTATTGATATTAACTTTTAGTTTTGGTATCGTACATGTTGATAGCGGATATGTGATTTTTCATGTGGATTTGCTTTGCATATCAACTGGTCTTGATATTTCAATTAGATAGAGATAAAAAAAAAAAATCAAAGTTTAAGCCAAAATAAATAAAAATTGGCAAAAATAACTACATCTCTATCATAGCATGGTGGTTACATCCCGCATATTTTAGGGCTTATGCAGGTTTT